CAAGTCGCAGGGCCACACGGTCGAGTCGTCGGCAGAGCTCGCCAACCTCACAAAGCTCGTCTTTGCCGTGCAGCTTGCGAGGCAGCGTCCGTCAGGTGCGCCTCGCTGTTCCCTCTTGCCTCTCGCCCCCGACCCGCGCCCTCTCTCGACCTCGACCGCGACTGACCCTCACCTCGCTCGGGCCCTCGTGTGCAGCAAACGGCACCAACCCGCACCCTGATGGTGGACCCGCATCGGCGAGCGCTGCAGCTCCTGCGCCAGACGCCTCGGCACCGCCACAAGCTCCCGCCTCGCCGTCGACCGTGCCGTTCACGCCCGAGCAAGTCGCGGCGCTCAAGTGCCAGGTCGTCGCCTTCCGCCTCCTCGCGCGCAACCAGCCCATCCCGCCCGCGCTCCAGGCCGCCCTCGCGACCCCCCAAGACGCGCTCAAGTTTGCCGCAAAGCTCCCCGACTCGGCGACGACCCTGTCGGGCCACGAGCTGAGCCCCGAGGCGGCCGCCGAGGAGCGCGAGCGGGCCCTCGCCGCCGAACCTCCACTCGACGACGTCGAGGACGCCGACTCGCTCGTGTACCCGTACAACGCCTTCCTCACGCCGCGCGACATCCTCACGGCCTTCCACGGCACGGCGTCGCGCCGCCCGCTCCTCATCCCCAACCTCCTCCCCGCCGGCCTCGACCCGCAGGCCGTCATCGACGAGCGCAACCGGTTCATCGACGCCCGCATCCTCCAGCGCCGTCGCGAGCTCGAGGAGCTCCCCGCCAACCTGTCGCAGACGGACCTGTCGTCCCTCGCCGCCGCCGCCACCGCCGGCTCTGGGTCCAGACCGTCGCCGTCGTCGTCGTCGTCGTCGTCGTCGTCGTCGCTCGCGTCGCAAAAAGTGCGCGCGCTCGTCGAGCTCAAGTCGTTGCGGCTCCTCGAGCGGCAGCGCGCGCTGCGCGAGCAGGTCGTGCACGGCCTCAAGCCGGCGTGCTCGCTCGCGCTCCCGCTCGACCGCACCCTGTTCCGGCGCGTGCGCAAGCCGTCGCTCGCCGACGCGCGCCAGATCGAGCAGCTCGAGCGCAAGCAAAAGCTCGAGCGCGAGCGCCGCGCCAAGCAGAAGCACCTCGACCACCTGAGCGACATCACCGAGCACGGACGCCACCTCGTCGAGGCGCACCGCGCGCACGAGGCCAAGTTTCACAAGCTCGGCAAGGCGCTCCTCAAGTTTCACGTCGACGCCGAGAAGGAGGAGCAGAAGCGCGTCGAGCGCGTCAGCAAGGAGCGCCTCAAGGCCCTGCGCGCCGACGACGAGGAGGGCTACCTCAAGCTCATCGACACGGCAAAGGACACGCGCATCACGCACTTGCTGCGCCAGACCGACTCATTCCTCGAGTCGCTCGCGGCGGCCGTCTCGGCGCAGCAGTCCGAGGCGCGCGCCGAGCAGGACCAGGACGTCCTCGACGAGCAGACGGCCGGCGCCGACGGCGCCGTCGACGAGAGCCGGTTCGGCGCCCAGCCCGTCTTTGCCGACGAGGCCAAGGACAAGGTCGACTACTACAACGTGGCGCACCGCGTCAAGGAGACGATCACGCAGCAGCCGTCGATCCTGGTCGGCGGCGAGCTCAAGGGCTACCAGCTCAAGGGCCTCGAGTGGATGGTGTCGCTGTACAACAACCACGTCAACGGCATCCTCGCCGACGAGATGGGCCTCGGCAAGACGATCCAGACCTTGTCGCTCATCACGTACCTCATCGAGACCAAGCGCCAGCCCGGCCCGTACCTCGTCATCGTCCCGCTGTCGACCATGCCCAACTGGATCTCAGAGTTTGAGCGGTGGGCGCCGTCGGTCAAGGTCGTGTCGTACAAGGGCACGCCCGCGCAGCGCAAGGGCGCCCAGGCCGAGATCCGCCACGGCAACTTCCAGGTCCTCCTCACCACGTTCGAGTACATCATCAAGGACCGCCCGCTCCTCGCCAAGGTCAAGTGGCTCCACATGATCATCGACGAGGGCCACCGCATGAAGAACACCCAGTCCAAGCTGTCGGTCACGCTCACCCAGTACTACTCGTCGCGGTACCGCCTCATCCTCACGGGCACCCCGCTCCAGGTGCGCTCCCCCTGTCTCTCTCTCTCTCTCTCTCTCTCTCTCTTGGGGGCCGTCACTGACTCTCGGTCGCGCACCCGCACGCCTCGCCTCGCAGAACAACCTTCCCGAGCTGTGGGCGCTCCTCAACTTTGTCCTGCCCAAGATCTTTGGCTCGGTCAAGTCGTTCGACGAGTGGTTCAACGCGCCGTTTGCCAACACGGGCGGCCAGGACAAGATCGAGCTCAACGAGGAAGAGTCGCTCCTCGTCATCCGGCGCCTGCACAAGGTCCTGCGCCCGTTCCTCCTGCGCCGCCTCAAAAAGGACGTCGAGCAGGACCTGCCCGACAAGGTCGAGCGCGTCATCAAGTGCAAGATGTCGGCCCTCCAGCGCGAGCTCACAAAGCAGATCAAGGAGCACGGCATGATCTTTACCGAGGCGGCGACGAGCGACAAGAAGAACGCGACGGGCATTCGCGGCCTGCAGAACCAGATCATGCAGCTGCGCAAGGTGCGTCTCGGGCCTTGTGTTCTCTCTCGCGGTCGCTCGTCGGCGGCGTCGTTCCCGCTCGAGCCGGCTCTGACCTTCCTCCTCCCTCGTCCCTCGTCCCTCTCCTCTCGCCGATCCTTCTCGCCCTCAACAGATCTGCAACCACCCGTTCTGCTTCGAGGCCGTCGAGCGCTCGATCGACCCGACGGGCATGAGCAACGCGACCCTGTACCGCGTCGCCGGCAAGTTCGAGCTTCTCGACCGCATCCTGCCCAAGCTATTCGCGACCGGCCACCGCGTCCTCATGTTCTTCCAGATGACCGTGCGTCCGCCTCTCTCTCCCTCTCGGCGTGTCGGCGTCGTCGGGCGAGCGCGAACTGACCTCGAGCCGCCGCCCGTACCGTTCCTCGCTCGCAGACGGTCATGACCATCTTCGAGGACTACCTCAACTTTCGCCGGATCGAGCACCTGCGCCTCGACGGCACGACCAAGCACGAGGACCGCTCGACGCTCCTCAAGCTGTTCAACGACCCGGCGAGCAAGTACCCGATCTTTATCCTGTCGACGCGCGCCGGCGGCCTCGGCCTCAACCTCCAGTCGGCCGACACGGTCATCATCTTTGACTCGGACTGGAACCCGCACCAGGACCTGCAGGCGCAGGACCGCGCGCACCGCATCGGCCAGAAGAAGGAGGTGCGCATCCTGCGCCTCGTCACCGAGCGCTCGGTCGAGGAGCACGTCATGGCGGGTGCGGCGCGCAAGATCGAGATGGACAAGAAGATCATCCAGGCGGGCCGGTACGACAACAAGTCGACGGCCGAGGAGCGCGACGCGTTCCTGCGCGCCTTGCTCGAGGCCGAGGACGGCGGCGAGGCCGACCCGGATGCCGACGACGACGCCGACGAGGCCGACGCGCTCAACGAGGCGATCGCGCGCACCGAGGACGAGCGCGTCCTGTTTGCCCAGATGGACCGCGACCGGCGCGCGTCCGAGGAGCGCGCGTGGGCCGCCGCCGGCCACACGGGCAAGCTCCCCGAACGCTTGATCCAAGAGTGGGAGCTCCCCGAGGTGTACCGCATGGAGCACGCCAAGATTGTCCACTCGCGCGACGAGTCGCCCGCCGACGGCGCGAGGCGCAACCGGACCCAGGTGACGTACGACGACGGCCTCTCGGAGGAGCAGTGGCTCCAGACGATGGAGGACGACGGCGACGGCGACGGCGACGACGCGGCCTCGTCGTCCAAGAAGCGCGGTGGCGGCGGCAAGCGGCGTGCGGCGGCCGTCGCGGCGACGGCCAACCGGTTCGGGTACGACGACGGGACGGGCGCGAGCGCGAGCGCGAGCGGGTACCCGAGCGACTCGGACGACGGCGCGTCGTCGGTCGCGGCGTCGCGGCAGCGGCTCAAGCGCGGGCGCGAGAGCGTCGGCGCGACGCCGAGCGTCAACGGCGACGACGTGTCGAGGGTTGGCGGCGGCGGCGGGGCAGGAGGAGGTGGCGGCGGCAAGAGGCGCAAGGTGCTGTCGCCGTACCAGGAGAAGTTGCGCGAGTGCTTCGAGGAGCTCCTCACCGAGGTCGAGAACCTCGACAACGTGCGTCCTCGCCTCTCTCTCTCTCATTCCTCGTTAGAGGGCCTCGCACTGACCCTCGGTCTCTGTCCTCTCGCAGCCGACGATGGGCCACCAGTGTGCAGGCGTGCGTCCCACGCTCTCCCTCTCTCTCGTCCACGTGGCCCTGTGACTGACCCGCATGCCCCTCGTCCGCCGCAGCTGTTCAACGAGCTGCCGTCGAAGCGCGACTACCCCGACTACTACCTCCTCATCACGCACCCGATCGTGCGTCCCGTCTCTCTCTCTCTCTCTCTCGCTCTCCCTCCTCTCGTCGCACCAGACCCTGACCTCGCTCTCGTGCCACAGAGCCTCAAGGAGATCAAGAAGAAGGTCAACAACGGCACGTACCCGAACACGGACGCGTTTGCCACCGACATTCACCAGATGCTCAACAACGCCATGACCTACGTGCGCCCGCGTCTCTCTCGCCTCGTCTCGTCGTCGTCGTCGCGTACCACCGTACTGACTCGAGGAGAACGTCGTCGTGCACTCGCAGAACGAGGAAGGCAGTGTGCGTCCCCTCTCTCTTTCTCCTCGACCCGTCCCCCATCGTGCGGCGCCGGCACTGACCCTCTCGTCGCACCCGCAGGTTGTGTACGAGGACGCGCGCATGCTCCGCGACGTGTTCAACCGCGCGTACGTCCAGGTCACGTACCAGGGCCAGCCGGTCGACCCGCTCCCTCGAGTCGCGCAGCGCACCTGAGCTGTTCCCGCTCGCACCCTTTTTGCCCCTGTACATCCCCTCTCCCCTCGCTTGCTGTGACGAGATACCCCTTCCTCTCTCCTGCGCCGCCTCGTCGGCGGTGTGCAACCTCCAGAGCCGCTTGTTGCACCTCTCGCGAGTCGCAGCGAGTCGAGAGAGAGAGGCGAGCAAGCTCCGCCTCGCTTGGGCAGGGCGCGAGCGTGGCCGATAGGGACGAGAGAGTGTCACGAGGAGAATGGAACTGTGTGCAGGCTGAACGAGAGCGAGCCGAGGGTGCGCCAGGCGGGCTCGTCATTTCCACGAGGCAGCGAGCCGCCGGGGAGGAGGAGCAGCTCTCGTCGCTCTCTCCCTCACCCACACGGCGCCTCGACTCTCGAGCCAGAACCACGTAAGCTCGACAAGGTCACAGAGCACACTGCCGGACCCGCCCACTGACCCGCCCGTCGTCGTCGTGCACAGCCTCGGCCATCCATCCACCTCGACCTTCCGTCGCACTCTCTCTCTCGCTCCACACCTCGCCCCACGAGCGACAGCCCGTACCCGCCCACCATGTCTGAAGCCGCCCCGTCCAAGAAGGCGACCGCGCCCGTCCTGTTCGGGTTCCCCTCGACCGACGACCTGTCCAAGTCGCTCGCCTCGTTCGTGCTCGCCGCACAGGACGACGCCCTCACGACCAAGAAGCAGGCCACGTTCAAGATTGCCATCTCGGGCGGCAGCCTCCCAAAGGTCCTCGGCAAGGACTTGATCGGCAGGGAGGACGTCCCCTGGGACAAGTGGTGCGTCTCTCGCGCGCTCTCTCTCGGCGACGATGAGCGAGATCAACCCGTGACAGCTTTCAGACGAGCTGTCAAGCGACTGATACACTGGCCCACGCCCCCGCCCCCCGCAGGGAGGTCTTCTTCGCCGACGAGCGCGTCGTGCCCCTTGACCACGACGACTCGAACTTCCGCCTCAACGACGAGCACCTCTTCTCGCACGTCCCGATCCCGCGCCAGAACATCCACGTCATCGACACGTCCAAGCTCGACGACCCGGAACACGTCGCCGACGAGTACGAGAAGCAGCTCGTCGCCGCCTTTGTCGGCTCGAGCTCCATCGCCTTCCCGCGCTTCGACCTCGTCCTCCTCGGCATCGGGTCCGTCCTCTCCCCCTCTCTCTGTCTTCCTGCACGAGGACGAGTGACTGACTCTCTCTACGCGCGCCCACCCACAGCCCCGACGGCCACACGTGCTCGCTCTTCCCCGGGCACCCGCTCCTCAACGAGCAAGACGGCTGGGTCGCCTGGCTCGACGACTCGCCCAAGCCCCCGGCGACGCGCATCACGCTCACGTACCCGGTCCTGAACCACGCTCACCGCGTCGCGTTCGTGTCGACCGGTGAGGGCAAGCAGGACGTCATGGAGAAGGTGCTCGACCACCCGGAGGAGGGACTCCCGAGCTCGAGGGTCAAGGTCATCTCGCCTGGGCGCGTTTACTTCTTCTCGGACGATGCGGCTCTCGGGTACGTCCCACCCCTCCCCTTCCTCTCTCTCTCTCTCTCTCTCTCTCTCTCTCGTGCGCGCCAACTGACGACGAGCGTCCTGCTCTTCCTGCGCCGAGCAGCAAGGTCAAGTACGAGCGCACCTCGTTCGACGCCGCCAAGCTCTGATTCAGCCCGGTCCTCCTACTCTCTCTCCCAAGTCTCTTGCGCCGCTTGTCCAAAACTCGAAAGTAGTGATTGTGTCCCCCC